ACGTTTGAAGAGCTCCTGGATGGCTGTGTTGTTACCCGTGAAGGTGGCCCACAGTTTTAGCCCCCGTGGTGGGATGTCACAGATCTTTTCACGTTGTGAGGGAGCCACCCAGCAAAGTAGCTGCTGTTCTTGTTCTGGATATTGGGCATTTGCTCATTCACCTCCCTCATGGACATGTGACCTCTGAAAATGGCAGCCACAGTTAGGTAGCGGCCATGTTGGAGGTCACAGGTGGCCATCATATTCTTAGCGTTCAACAGCTGCTAAGTGAGCTCAGCCACAGTCAGGGCCCGGTACTGCTGGCTGGTCAGTGAGGCAAAGCCAGGCGTAAAGAGGTGCAGCCCAGGAAATGGAACCACGTGCACAGGCAGCTTCGGCAGGTCGACATTCAGCTGGCCCGGGAAGTGCAGGCACGTGGTGACTCCACTCATGGTAGCAGACACCAGGTGATTCAGATCACCACAGGTGGGTGTGGTCAGTTTTAAGGTTCTGGAACAGATGTTATGGAGTGCTTCATTATCGATGCAGAACGTCACGTCTGCATTTTCTATGAGCTGGTTGATGGAAAGGGTGGCATTGTAGGGCTCCACCATGGTGTCTGACACCCTGGGCGAGGGCAGGACACTAAATGTGTTTATGATCCTGTCTGGGTACTCCTCCCGAATTTTGCCCATGAGAAGTGTACCGATCCCAGACCCAGTCCCCCCGCCCAGGGAGTGGGTCAGCTAGAAACCCTGCAGGCGATCACAGCTCTCAGCCTCTCTTCTCACAACATCTATCACCGACTCCATCAGCTCCCCACCTTCCGTGTAGTACCCATTGGCCCAGTTGTTACTGGCCCCACACTGACCTGTAAGGTAGTACAGCCAGTCACTCAATGGCCAGGTAAATGGCGGTCACCACCACAATGCAAAAAGGGCCAAGTGTCACATGTGAGGTGAAAGCACCATTCACCCTGCATGTGGAGCAAAGAAACCCCCTCCCTCTAAGTTACAGGACAGCAGCCTTGCTTGTTAGAACCTAGATCAGGAGCCAATCATGAGAGCCAACAACAGACTCGCTGCAGGTGGCTCCTGCCCATGCCCAGGCAATGGAAAGGCTGTAGTCATGGCCCCAACTCAGCTCTTTGCAGGGAGATTCCATCAGCTCCTCAGGTTGAGGAGACACCTGGGCCTTCCTCCCCCAAAGCCCGTTTAGGAAAGGGAGACTGAGTGACTCAGAGGATGGGAGGGTGTTCAGGGGCCCCAGTGCCACAGTTCCCACAGAGATGACCTTGAGGCACTCATTGACTTTGAACTGCCCTGGCTAAGGAGCCGCACCCCAGTCCTCATTCACAGCTCACCAAAGATGAAGTTGTCTGGCCTGAAGATCTGTCCGAAGGGCCCTGAACGCATGGAGTTTATAGTGCCCAGCTCCAAATCCACGAGCGCAGTGCGAGCCACGTACCTGCCACCTGAAGGGAATGGGAAAGCTTTGGTAAGGAGAGGCCAGCATTCCCAGGAAAGCTATTGCAGCAAGACTGCAGTCTCACTGCTGGCCTCGTTGTAGTACACATTGATGTGCTCCAGCTGCAGGTCACTGTTCCCACAGTAGGTGCCAGTGGAGTCGATGCCATGTTCATCAGATATCACCTCCCAGAACTGCGAGAGATGCGAGAGGCCAGACAGGCCAGGGCTGAGTCACAGAGCTCAGGGAGTTGGAGTTGCTCCAGTCCCTCTCCCACTTCCACCCCCACCCTCAGGCCGCTAAGTCCCTTGAGGTTCGACTTGGAAGTCTTGCCAGTCACACAGCTCCACCGCATCCTGGGCAGGGAGCCCAGGGACCACAATGCAGAGGTGCCACCTCTTCCACTGCCAACATCTTCACCGGCCACCCCGCAGACCCTAGCTGTGCCCTTAGATTAGAGCCCTGGCTGCCAACCTTTGCGCCGATACGGTTCCTGCAGTGTCCGGTTTGGGTGAGCATGAACTCCCTCATGGCCAAGTCCAGACTATGGGCAGCAGAAGAAACATGAAAAGGAGAAGCAGTCACACAATGATTCAGCCTGCAGTCCCCCAGTGCTTACGTAGCCCCACGCCCACCTCCCGCAGCCTTGGATTGGGCTCCCAGAATAAGAAACAGCTTTACTTTTCCACAGGTGTACCCACCTGTGAATCCCTTGGAGTTTAACGTCCATTGGAAAGATCAGGTGGCCTTGCTGCGGTCTTTTCCACACTGGGGAAACTGGTCAACTGGAGAACTTCTTCCCACGTCTTCAGTAAGACCAAATCCCCAGCTGAGTTGAAACTGAATTTTCTTCCCGTGTGGGAGGGGAAGGCTTTTGTTTCCATATTCACAGAGTGCCTTTGCACCTGTCCTAGATTGATGACATATTTTTGTGATTGATGAGATGAGTCCTTTCATCTCTTAGGAGATCTGTGGTTAGGAAAGGCTTTCTGTATGCCAACTCAACAGGACCTAATGATAAGTTTTCCTTTGGAGTAGCTCAAACCCATTGTAAGCTATGGGTGTTAGAGATAGTCGGGCCTCTGATTTTGTTAGAGTCTTCTTTAGAGTGTGATTAGTTCTTCCAGGTTTCCAGAGGCCTACAGTCTCCACACAGAGCGAAGGTGATATTTGATTCCTAAAGCTGAGCATAGGTGCTGGGATATGCCTGATGTGAAAGATGGGCCATTGTCACTTTGCAGACTTTTAGATAATCCAAACTGAGGAATAATATCTTCCGGTGAACACTTTTCAGATAACGTGGGGAACGCCTTGATCTAACCAGTGAAGGTATCAGTAAGTATTAGCAAATATTTGAATGTCCTACACAAAGGCATCTGAATAAATTACAGTTTTCAGTCCTCACCTGGAGAGGATTCTCAATGTTAGGTTAAACTAGAGGAGAAAATTGCTGGCTGTTTAGGTGATTTCAGGCACAGAGCTCAGGACAGTGTCTTGAAAAGATTTATTGTCATAAACCAATGAGACATTAACTGAAACAATCCTTTCTAGGGTGAAAAGAATCACATAAGTGCTTAATTATTTTCCTATGTTTAGTATTTGGCATTAGTAATGTATTACCATGAGTCAGCCAGCCGGAGGGGTTCTGGGCTAAACTGCATTCCCTGGCCCATTTTTCTTCTTCAAAGCATTCTGGCCCATCAGCTTCATTAATATTATTACCCTAAACAGCTCGACACTCCTCAAAATGAACATGAGGTGAACCCATGTCACTGATGGTCAATGAGACCTGTCAAGCTAGGCAGAAATTATCTGTGGTCATGCTTAATTCATACCAAGTCTCTCTTCCATCGGCCTTAAGTTGACTACAGCTCTCCCAGGCAGACCAATAGACAGGGGATCGTGGATACCAACCCAGTCCCCACCCACACAATGAGCCAAAGCTCCAGGCAGCCACTGCATCCTCCCATCCTACCCGTTCTGTTGCAGGAGAGAGGACAGGCAGCAAAATGGCATGGAAAGTGGATCTAAGGTAATGAGTGGGGAGAGGAAGCCAGAGAAACTAACTCTATCCCCAAGAAGTCAGGCAAGGCTTCTGGGAGGAGGTGACCACTATCCTGAGAGTGCCTTCCAGGCTGAAGAGAGTGAAAAGGCTCTGCAAGCAGGGAGAGTGGCCTGGGCAAAGACACAGAACATCAGAATCCACATAGCCAGTGACCTACCTGCCTCCTCAGCCTCACCCTTTCAGCTCTACCTCCAGGGAGGCTGGAGGTCAGCATAGGTGAGGGTGGGTGTCAGAGCCCTGTGGGCCCCTGGGGACCTGTGTCCAAGCGGGTACCTTCTCTGCAGCTATGGCAAAGTCAGCTTTAGAGTCTTCTCTCCTTCCAGAGTCATCGAACTGCAAGCAGTACTTCAAAACCCTAGTCCACGCAGTCTTCTTTTTTTTTTTTTTTTAACCCTCTCTAGGTCAGGGGTTTTGGCCTCAACCTGATTCTCCCCTTCATCTCCTAGCCCCGTGCTTCAGATTCAGGCAGACCTTGCTGAACTTGAAGACCAGGAGACAGCCCACAGATACAGGAGGCTGAGTCCGAGGAAGGAGACATAGGCCCTTCCTTCCTGAGGCCCCAGGAGGGAGACAGGACAGAGACACAGAACTCTCAGTGAACAGAGCAGAGGCCCTGAGAGCTGGGCAGCCAGAGAGGGCAGGGAGAGTGCAATTGGGCAATCAAGGCAAGCTTCTTGGAGGAAAGGGGCAGGGAAGGGTCCATGTCAGGGGAGATCAGCCTGCAGGCAGGCTCTGGAATAGGTGCAGAGTGGTGACGGATTCCAGTCTGACTCCAGTTTAGACAACCACAGCGCCTTTAGGCTTCAGTATCTAGTCCAGGGGAAGGGGGGACATGGGAAGGTGTCTTTATGGCCTTATCACTATGAAGTACAGTTCGTGACTTATCCACCGAGTGTGGATTCAGCGAGATGGGGGAGGGCGGTTTTTTAGGGATAAGGGAGCCCGCACACTCCCATCGCTCCTCTGCTCAGGGAGAGGGGGACGGTAGAAATGACCTGCCTCTCCGGCCAGCACGCACACAGCCATGTCAGCCCCGCTTGGCTCGTCCTGCACAGCCCCGTCTTGGACCGCACTTCACCGCCAGCCGCTCCAGCCCTGGGGAAGCGCCCCGGGGTGTTGGTGCTTCTGACTTCACGGGATGGGGGAAGGACAGCCCTGTGCCCATCTGCTCTCCTAGGCTGCCTAGCAGGCTCCTGTCCACGCTCCCCGCCCCTTCTTCCAGAACCCCATCCACCCCTGCCCCCACTCGATCCGGTTCCTTCCACAGTAGCCCCTGGTCTGGGCGCTGTCCAGGCCCACGCTGGGTGGTCGAGTCTTCACTGGGCTCCGAGCAGAGGGAATCCCCGCGCCCGCCCCAGCCTTGTTGTTCCGGGGGGCCTCTGTCCGAGTCGGTTTTCTCTCCTCTGGCCCCCACGCCTCCACCCTCCACTTCCAAGGGACGCCACCTCCACGAAGGAGAAAGGAAAGGAAATAAAAAGGCACACATTCGTTTCTGTGGTTTCGCTCTTTACTTTGGGACCAGGGAAGGACCACACACAGCCCTGCAGCCCAGGGTTTGGAGCGCCGAGACGCTGAAAGCCCGCACCCGCACCCTCCTCAGACGCCGCCGCCAGGAGGCGGAATCCGGGTTTCTGGGGTCGGGAGTGCGTATGCAAATGAGACGGGCGTGGTTGGAAGATCTCCCAGGAGGCCTCGGGGGTCCTCGCCACGGGTCGGCGCCAGGAGCGAAGGAAAAGGAATCGGATCTGGGGAGGCAAGCCTGGGAGACGTCGTAAGTGACGGACTAGGGTGGGGTGTGGCGAGGCCGCGCTCTCGGAGGCAGGATGTGTGGTGACGGGGACGCTTTCACCTAGACCTGCCGGGGTGGTCCTCGCCGTGGGGCGGTAGAACGTTTTGCAGAGGCGCGCGTCCGGGCTGTCTCGTTTCACCTACCTGGGGGCGGAGCCTGGAAGGGCGTGTTCAGACCTGGCCACGCCCCCGGCGGTGCGGGGCCGCCGGGTAGAGCCCCAGGGATCCCGCTCCGCCCGCCCCGTTCCAGCGCTCACCGCGGCCGGGTGACCAGGTTGAGCTAGTGGCGCAACGGAGGCGTAGTAGCGGCTCAGCTTCTGGGAGGCGTCTTCGCCGGGAGCCTCGGCGCCCCCAGGCGGACGAGCAGGGGCAGGCCACGGCCTGCGCACCGACACCATCTGGGAAGGCGACACTGGGCGTGGGTCATTCCGAGCCTCGACCCTCCACGGCGTGAGGCTGCGGCTGCCGTCGGGGCCGCGCTCCGACGCTCTCCCTCGGCCTGGTGTCGGACCAAGGCTCAGCCACCAGCTTACCTTGTGTTCTCCGGTACTGCACTGTCTCCTGCCTCAGTTTCCTCATCTGTCAGAGGGACAAAGCTCTACCTGACGTAACCCTACTCCCCACCCCCGCGGCTGCCCAGAGAGGTAGAGGGAAGAAGAAGGTTGTGCTGGGGGGACTCCTGAGCCTCCTTCCCACCTCCGATGGCCCCCTCCAGTCCAGTTTCCCACCACTCACCCCCAGCTTCTACCATTCCAGCCTTAGTTTTCCCACCAAACAGCCAGGGTTTCCCGGTACCAGACAGTGCTTGAGCCCCCAGCCACTCACAGCGACAGCTTGGGAAGCAGATGAGCAGGAGGTGGAAGGCGAGGGAAGTCCCAAAGGCTGCACTGCAGCAGGTCAAGCTGAGGCCTCCCCTGCTCAGGGCTTTCCTTGCCGGGCTTATATCCCTGCCTGGAAAGGAGGGGGAGTCCTACGGGGAGGGGGAGCCAGCAGAGGGTGGGCCCTTCTTCCTCCCTCCTTCCACCCCTGCTAGATCGCTGAGCTTGCACCTAGCCAGTGTGTGATGTCTTCACCTGGCAGGAGCTCAGGGGGCAGCTGCCATGCTCAGATTTTGGGCCCCGCTGGATGGGGTACCCAGTCTGAACCCTGTGTTCACCCCGTAGTCCCCCAGGGGCAGGTCTAGCCTTCTGAGGAAGTGAAGCAGTTGGATCTAGACTCCTGGGTCAGCACCTAGGACAAGGATGAGATACTCTCTTCCCTAGCCTGTCCGTGGGTGGGAGTGGGAGCCAGAAGCCTGAACACACTTCCTCCAGCCTGTGGGATCTGTGACCACTCTTAACAAAAGACAACCCTTTTCATCCTCTGCTCAGTAATACTTTGGAGAAGGGCTGAGGAGTGACAGGCCCTCTGAGGGGAAATTCTTTTTCTTGGAGGCAGGGGTGGGGGCACATGACCTTGGCTCCTGACCTGCAATTGATGGTGTCCTCAGGGAGAGGCCTCTCTGAACATTCCATTATGTTCTTTCTCCATTAAAGAGTTGGGAAAAGAGGCAGAAGGGGGCAGAAGCCAGTTCCCTCACCAGAAGCAGCTGAGTCGGCCACCTGTGTATCCAGCCTGGCACACACAGACCCTGGTGCGGCCATGTGTGGCATAGAGCCCCCTTGCCAGGCAGAGTATCCCCACCCCTATGCAGGTGTCATTCAGGGCACAGGTGTCTTATGCCAAGGCTTCCCAAGTACATACCACGGTCCCCAGCCCGTAACAGTGTCCACTGGGCTCTGAAACCCAGATCCTTTGAAGGAAAGGACTTGTGTTTATTAAGCACCTACTGTGCACCAGGTAGTACAGAATTTCAGGCATCACAAGATGATGAGCTGAGTTTATCTCCATTTTTCAGATGAGGAAACCGAAGCCCTGAGAGGTGATGGAGCAGCCAAAGTTACCCATGATTCAAACAGGAAAAGGAGGGTGAGGCAGACCCCAGGAAGAGGACCTCTCAATCTGAGGGGCAGACTCAGCACCTGGAGTAGCCATGGGGTGCTGGAGCAAGGACATGAAGGCTACGTCAGGCCCACCACCCACTCTGAGAGGCCGCATAGGGGAAGGGTCTCTGGACCACCAACCCCTCAACCCCACCTGCCCAGGAGGAGGGAGGAATGTGGGACGGTCTCCCGGTAAAGCCCTTTCAGCTTCCTCTCCCTGGCCTGGCCAGACCTCTAGTACCTCCAGATGTCCCATCAGCCCACAGGGAGTAAAGGGGCCTACTTGTGTAGGCTGCTGGTTCTGAGCCAGCCCCTCCAGCCCCAGGACAGATGGCTGTGGAGCCTGTTTTTAGCGCTGTCCTGAGATGGGAGTTCAGGGCTCTCTGTCACTCTTTTATGGGTTCAATCACCTGCATTCTCCAGAAATGGCTCCTTATCAGCCAGTCAGGCCCTATAGGACCACACATCCCAGGAAACACCAGGGTGCCCTGCTGAGCATGGAGGTGGCAGAGGACACCAGAACAAGGGGACATAGATCCTGCCCTTGGAGGAAGGAGAAAAATCATTCTTGTTAGTGACCCGTCATCCACGGGCAAGGCACAGCCCTGTCCTTCAAGAACCCCAGTCGCAAAGGAGAGACATGGCCATATCATGGGGAGATCCTCAGTCTGAGGGGTTCCCAGAACATGGATACAGAGAGACAAACAGAGACAGTCATTGTCCTGTTTGGAGGGAAGACAGCAGAAATCAAAGAATTGTATTCCTCCACAGAAAGACAAAAGGCAGGTGCTCACCCTTGGATTGCAGGGGCAGTGGGGGCTGGCTAGGACATCTGTGATTCCAGGGGTCAGGGCCCAGAGAAGGACCCTGCAGGCTAATGGGGTCAAGGATACCAGAGAGCAGGGGGCTGTTCGCTCTTTTGGCCCTGCAGCACTAACCGTGGTGGTGATAGGGGTTTCTAGTGCATTGATTCCGGGCAGAGAGATGAAGGAGCCTGTGAGATGGCCACAGGGAATCTGACATCCCTGGAACCCCATCATGCCCTGGAACCCCATCATGTGCTGGAACCCTGTCGTGTCTTGGGGAATATGCAGTCCAAGGACAGATGGGAAGAGAGGAGAGACATCGTAGAAGCTAGAGGGTATGAGATGGCCTGAATTTGGGCTACAACCTCTGAAGAAGTCACTTCCTCATTTATAGCCAAAGTAAATGGGTGCCCTGGTGGTCTCAGTGTGGACCAGGAGCCAGCCTCAAAACCTCTCTATCCATCCCCCAAACCCTCTCTATCCATCCTTCCCCTACCCTCCAATCTCACTCCCCAAGTACAGGGCAAGCTGATTGGTTCCTTAATCTCTACCTCCTTATTGAAGAGCTTATGAATTTGTTGATTAGCAGGGAGGATGTCTCAGCCCTGGATCAATGGGCTTGGCTACCCCCATTCACACCCCCACACCCATCACTGATGCATGACTCAGTGGCTATGAGACATGTCTGGGGGATGGCGGGCCGAAGTCTGTGATGGGGGAAAGTTTAGAAATGATTGTTTTTGTAGATGTGAGACCAGTGCCTGCCTCCAACTTGTCCTTGGAAGGTAAGGGACAGAATCACTAGGACTTCGTCGGCCCCATTTTCAGAGCATCTGGCAAGGCCACCTCAAGTCAGGGAGACCATGGACCTGGACCCCAGCCAACCATTTCCCTTGTCCAGTGGGCTCAAGGGCCACTCATCAAGATGGTGTGGCCTCTGCCATTCATCCCCAGAGGTTTAGAATTCTGCACCCCGTTGCCCACCTGCCTGTACCTGCCCCCCACGCATAAGGCCCGTCTTTGATCAGCGTGTACTGTGCAGCACTGGGCTACTGCCTTCCGCCCACAGGTAATTCCTCATGCCCAGGGTCCTGCAGATAGCAGGTTGTCATACAGCAAGAGTAATTCGATCCTCATTCAACAAGCACTTATTGTCTGCTGTGTGCCAGGCACTGATCTAGGCACTGGGATAGGGCAGTGAACAAGCAGGCAAAACCCTTACTCTCATAGAGTTCACATTCTAGTGATAGGAAATAGAAAATAAGTAAATAGGTGGGCACGGTGGCTCAAACCTGTAATCCCAGCACTTTGGGAGGCCGAGGCGGGTGGATCACGAGGTCAAGAGATCGAGACCATCCCGGTCAACATGGTGAAACTCCGTCTCTACTAAAAATACAAAAATTAGCTGGGCATGGTGGCGCATGCCTGTAGTCCCAGATACTCGTGAGGCTGAGGCAGGAGAATTGCTTGAACCAGGAGGCGGAGGTTGCGGTGAGCCGAGATCGCGCCATTGCACTCCAGCCTGGGTAACAAGAGTGAAACTCCGTCTCAAAAAAAAAAAATAAAAATAAAGAAAGAAAGAAAGAAAGAAAAAATAAGTAAATAAGCATGGAGGCTGGCGCCGTGGCTCACACCTGTAATCCCAGCACTTTGGGAGGCCAAGGTGGGTGGATCACCTGAGGTCAGGAGTTTGAGACCAGCCTGGCCGACATGGTGAAATCCCATCTGTACTAAAAGTATAAAAATTAGCCAGGTGTGGTGGTGGGCACCTGTGATCCCAGCATTTTGGGAAGCTGAGGTGGTTGGATCACCTGAGGTCAGGAGTTCAAGAACACCCTGGCCAACTTGGTGAAATCCCTTCTCTATTAAAAGTATAAAAATCAGCCAGGTGTGGTGGTGGGTGCCTGTGATCCCAGCTACTGAGGAGTCTGAGACAGGAGAATTGCTTGAATCCAGGAGGCAGAGGTTGCAGTGAGCGGAGATGGTGCCACTGCACTCTAGCCTGGGTGACAGAGTGAGACTCAGTCTCAAGAAAATTAAAAACATAAATAAATAAATAAATAAATGTGCATGGAATATGTCTGATAAGTGCTATAGAGAAAAATCAGAGCCGGGTGTGGTGGCTCACGTCTGTAATCCCGGTGCTCCAGGAGACTAAGGTGGGAACATCACCTGAGTCCAGGAAGGAAGTGATGAAGCAAACCATGAAGCTGCTTTGGGAAGAGTGGGAGGTGGGTTTGGGAAACAGTGATGCCAAGAAGGAAGGGATTTTTCACTTTTTATAGTACGAGTTCTCCTCGGAGCCCTCCCTCTTACCTGAAGCTTCTGGAAAACACAGTAACAGATACCCGTGACATCGTGCATGCCCAAGGCTCAGGCTTTGCTCTAGAATAGAGATAGGCAAACTTTCTGTAAAGGAACAGATAGTAAATATTTTAGACTTTGTGATCCATACAGTCTCTGTTGACACCGTCAGGCTCAGCCATTGTAGCTTGAAAGCAGCCACTGAATACACCAAAAAAAGGAATGGGTGTGGTAGTGCTTCAGTAAATCTTTACTTACAAATGTTAAAAGTTGAATTTCAAATAATTTTCATGTCATACAATTTTTTTTAAGTTTTTTTCAACTGCTTACAGATTCAGTCACTGTAAAAGACACTCTTTTTATTGAGCTCAAGGGATTCTCTGGCCTCAGCCACTTAAAATGCTGAGATTATAGACATGAGCCACTGTGCCTGGTCTAAAAGGCTTTTTTTTTTTTTTTTTTTTTTGAGACAGTCTCAGTCTGTCACCCAGGCTGGATTCAGCTCACTACAACCTCTACCTCCTGGGCTCAAGGGATTCTCCTGTCTCAACCTCCCAAGTAGCTCGGACTATAGGTGCCCACCACCACACCTGGCTAATTTTTGTAATTTTAGTGGAGACAGGGTTTCACCATGTTGGGCAAGCTGGCCTTGAACTCCTGACCGCAAGTGATCTGCCTGCCTTGGCTTCCTAAAGTGTTGAGATTACAGGTGTGAGCTACCACATCCAGCCCCTAAAAGGCATTTTTAAGCCACGGGATGTACAAAACCAGGCCCACAGGGCTATAGTTTGCTGACCCCTGGTCTAGAAAGGCAA